AGAGTCCAGGACAGTTGTTGGTAGATTTATTGTCAGCTGCTCGTCTTGTGATGGACAGTAGGCTCGACTGCCAAAGTTATCTGATCACTTCATAAAATAAACCACTTGACTGGGTTGAGCGATTACTAACTAACGCCTGTTAAACGTCGCGGAGAAGCACAGGCCGCTAAACAGCATTATCTGCTGAACTCTGCGCTAGGCATTCATTTCCAGTTGTTTCCAGATTCTATTAATCCTTTTCATGTTTATTTGCAATTTTTAATGCACTGTGTTCTTTGGACTTCCTTTTTTCCCCTCAGGATTAAAAGTTAGCGCTTGCTTCGTTATGCAGTTTGACGATTCGAGTAATATATGTCCTATCCATTTTCAACATATTTTCCTAATTTTCTCTTTATACAGTAGATCTGTCTTGACGTTCGTTTTGAAGGTTCTCACTCTTATATTTGTTGATAGTTGCTTTAAGTTCCATGTGTTCTTCAACCGTATAAATGCTGCCCTTTGCCAATCCTGGTTTGCACGATTAGACCCTTCTGTTCGCACTAATACTCAACCCTCGACAATGTCATGACAATTTTCATAAGATTTGCCGAGAGGTATTTGATCCTCAGAGGTTCTCTTGACTGTCGAAAACTCCCTTTAAACACGGGCGGATGTGTTATTAGTAGTGAGGCATTCATCTCGTCCTTTCTTGATGCTTCTGATGCCGAACAGCTCAGCATAGCAAGGAGTTTAGTGTATTATTCTGTGATGTATCAAATGTTTTTCCCGCTGGTATTCTTCAGGTAACGAAACCTGTTCTGTCACATAATTTTTATTCAAAGACATATGTAGACTGACATTTGAAGTAATCAAGGTCTCGCAAATAGTTTTTAATGAACGAATCTCAGTTCCAGTTTGGAAAGGACAGGAGGCTTGATGGTCTATGTTAGTCCTGGAAATGGTGGTCCCTCAGTTGATCCAACTTTCTTTTGAAAGAATCGACGGATAGAGCCTCAACCGCGTGCTAAGTTAGTGAATTCCACTCGTTGATGTTTCGATGGGAAAGTCGATAGTCAGCTGACAAGTAATTTGTTCTGGGCTTGTGAACTTTTTTGGAGTGCCCTCGTAAATTCTCTGTTTTGAAAGACAAGAAAAATGAAGGCATATCAGGTGCAAATTTGGCACTAAACAATTTGAAAACTGTAATCAAGTCGCCTCTAGTTCTCTGATATGACAACGGGAAAAGGTTCAGCTTGGCCAGTCGAGCTTCATACAGAAGCTTCGCTATTCCAGGAATCAGCTTAGTTGCCGTTCTCTGAACCTTTTCCAGAAGCTCACTGTTATTTTTAAGCAGGGGCTAGCCGCTTGTATGCAGTACTCAAGTTTAGGACGTACGAACACTATATACAAAGTCAAAAACGTCTTAGCGTCGACATGACTAAAAGCCCTGCGTATTGACCATAAGGTTCTAAAACCTTTGGCGGCTATCGCACACCAGTATACAGTAGTCTTTAAGTCTTGGCTAACGATGACTCCTAAGTCATTTTATGTCTGGACGACAGGTAGCTCAGTGTTATTCATCGTGTATATATCTGTACCTTAATGACCGATATGCATCACAACACACTTGGAAGTATTTATCGGCAGCTGCCAGGTTTGAGACCATTCAGGTAATCTCTTCAGGTCATTTTGGAGTTCGAAGCTATCATCCTTATATCGTATCGTTCTCCATATCTTGACATCGTCAGCATTTGGTAAGATCGATGTTGATAGGAGACAAGGAAGGTCATTTACATACAAGAGGAATAGCTTCTCCGAAAGGATCCGGTTTTCATCGAGGTACTTAAACAGCTCCTTCCGAATAATCTTTTCTAAGATTTTAGCAACCACAGTAGTTAGGCTAACGGGGCGGTAATTATCAGGTTTATGTTTCGTACATATTTTGAAGATAGGACTTACTATGGCGTTTTTTCAGTCTTTTGGTAAACGACCCCTGCGTTACGGATAGATTAAAGCATATACTTAAAGGGCTCGCAGCGAAGTTAGATAATTCCTTCAGTAGCCTAGGATGTAATTCATCGGGCGCCGTGGATTTACCTATGTCAAGCTTATTAAGCAAGCCAAGCTACGGACGTGACGTTACTTTCAGGCCGAGGTTTTTAGTTTTATTTTTCTAGGATTCTCGCAGAGCTGGATGAATTATTTTTTCTTGGAATTATAGAAGTTAACTCTATTTCTAACTATTAACATATTAACTGTGAATTTCATGCCATATGATAAGTTCTGAGTTTAACTTACGGTATTTATGACCATATTCATACAATAATTCATAATAATCTAATTACATATATTCATTTTGACTATACGATCAACCTATACTCTGTCACTTTGAAACCATTTATAATCATATTTGACGAAGATTTGTATTTCATATCTGTATTCTATTCCTTAAGGAATATATGGTTATATCGTATTTGAATACTTTAACCCACGTACTTTATGTATCTACAGGATCTATTCAAACCTCTACCTAATATCAAGAAATATATATAACCGTGTATGTTAAAGGACTGTATTCACTATTTTATGAACTATCATTTAAATCGTATTTGGATACTATAAATCATTTAATTTTCAAAGCTACCTGTCCAATTCGGTAAGTCTGTCATAGTTTTTTTCTGACAGTATTTTTTTTTCCCAAAAGCTGTTTCATATATTTGTTCAAGAAGCAACATAATAATCTTAGACGGTAATAATCTTCTAAACTACTTGTCTCTGCACCTCCCAATTTTTACTAATACGGACTTTCAGTTTATATATGTATCACGTACCGTACTTTTTTGATTGTTTGTTACTAAGTATTGACATTTCTAAATTACTTTACCATATAAGGCTATCTTTCATGTCATATGTGTTAAAATTTATACAACTTGCTCCTTTATATTCTATTTTGCCTCCACACAGATACTGACATAAATACTTCATCTCCACTACTATCTTCCTGCCATTGTCATCTGTTTTTAACACCACTAATCCTCACGATACATTGACCCTTGGTTAAAACATAGATTTTGATTTTTAGACTAACTTAAGCCCTTGGAATTGGTTTTTTTTTCACCCCTTTCTATTTCCAACATTCTGTTCAATCCACTTGCTATACGTCACTTTCTTATCATGCCACAAAAGAAAATGAAGACCCCTGCTTCTAGGCGTCCAGCCAAACGTAGGAAAACGACACAATTTAACACCACTACTGACACGATTTCCAACGGTTTCAACGAGACGAGCCACTCCGTTCATCTGGAAGCAGACAAGCTTTTACCAGTTGTCTCCATTCCAGACATGTTGAAAACTCTGATGGTAAACAGTGATGATAATCGCAACTGCAACCATATGGATGCTATAAAAAAGTTGCAAGTAGACATGAACATTCTCAACCCGCTTAAATATCTCATCAACCCCAACCTCACAGAGACTCCAGATCAAATGAATGACATAAATATTTTCCTAGATCGTGTTGCATCAGAGGTATTTGAAAGAATAAGACGATCTAGTAATGCAATTGTGTTTAATATACCGGATACACATGCCCTTAAAAATATCAAATCTAGTCTGCTTAGAGCCAGCAATATGACACACGTACCATGTGTATGCACAAGATTAAAAAGAAGTCATCCTGGTATGCACTCACCGATCTTGTTCAAATTCAACTCATCTGTAGACGCCAGTGAATTTTTAAATTCCTCCAATTCATTGAGACAAAAACAGATTTTCAAGGATATTAAGACTCTTCCGGATAAAACACCATGCCAGCGAAAATCAGGAAGAGTTAACTACCGACCACCAGCGTCAAACTCTCAAACGTATCGTAATCCTAATGGTCGTAAAGTTAAGTCCGATTCTAAGGGGACGTCTAGCTTAACAATTTTGCCGTCACCGAAAAACTCTTCTGAATCTCCTAAAGTTCAAAACCCAGAAGAAAGTAATCCCGATGTAGGTGGTGTCCATCCTCTTGAGAATGTTGACTTAGATTCAACCCGAAGTAGTTGTGCTGATGAAGAATGGGATAACACAATCCAAACCCCTGTTAGTGCAACACCCAGTTACAGTAACTGTGCAACGGATAACAGGAAAACTAATCATAACATCCATATAACTGACCACGCACTTAACGTTGATATATTCGAACCTCGCAAACCATCGCAAGTATGTTTAACAGTACACAATCCCCTCCAACATATGAAGAAGCCGAAATCAACCACAACCCTTGGAAATAAACGTCTTAAACACGTTACCCATACGTCAGGTATAAATAGTTATCTGAATTGTAATTGGCCACTTGGTCAAAACCATAGACCTGATAGCCTTCTTGGTCCGGCTCCCAATATGTACACTATGCCCTTATCAGATGTTAGATCCAACAGCAATGAGAAAACTTTTTTTGTAATTCCGCCGGCTTTCCTGCCGGCAACGGTAAACATATTTCACATGATGACAAAGTGGTTGAATCTATTTCCCCTCGCAACACAACTCTTACCTTAGCTAATCCTATGAGTATTCATGGAACTACCAATTGCGATTTATACTCCAACCTACTTCACTATGATGACTCTGAGTTTCTTATTCTTTCGTTCAATGCCCGCTCTCTGTCCAATAAAATTATTCATCTTAAAACTCTTTTATTCCTTGTAAATCCAACCATTGTACTTATTACGGAAACGTGGTGTAATTCATCCATATCCGATCATTTCTTGAATGTAGATAACTACGTTTTCTTTAGAACCGATAGATGTTATGGAATAGGAGGCGGTACAATTATCTATGTACGTTCAGACATTCAAGCGTGCAAATTTGAGGATAAATCCCTTGATGCTATAGAAGACTCTACTTGGGTTACTGTAAACTGTGGATCCCAAAATTACTTACTGGTGGGATGCATATATAGACCACCTCATGCGGATACTAAGTTTGACAGATTACTAACAAACATATTTTCCATTGCTTCGCATCAACCTCATACTTTTAAAATCATCGGAGGTGATTTTAATCTGCCAAAAATTACATGGGGCTTGACTCCGGTGCCAGGTCGATATAACAAGCTAGTTGAAACATTAGAAATTTGTGGATGGGTTCAACAGGTCCGAAAACCAACCAGGGGGAATAATACACTTGATTTAATGTTCACAATCAACATAGACTCTATCTCAGTGCATACCAGTCATGAGTTTTTTATGAGTGACCATAGAGTTGTATTGAGCATTATTCACTCTTTAAACGCCATACAATTGAACTCTAAAACTTCAACGACGTACCAGAGCAGATATTTTGATCAACAAACATGGAAACGGACTGAAACTCTCATTCGATGTTTACCATGGGAAACTTATTTTACCACAAATAATGTTGACATTGCGCTTTCCAATCTATATCACAACCTGACATATTGTCTTGACTGCACTGCTCCAGTTATTGGCCGTGTGGCTTATAATGCTAATAGGGGCCAAAATACTTTTAAAAGAAAGCTGAGGAAATTAAAATACCGCTACTATGAGCAGAATGATGTGTATGCACTTCAGAGTATACTTAAATTAATCGACAGAAATGCTTCATCTAAACATAAGTATTTCATGAATATAGAAAATAAAGCTCTACGTAGTAAAAGCCCAGAATTATCAATACTTCGACTTTTTAAATCCCGTGTAAAGTCAAATTCCCTTGGCACGACTAAATTCTTCATAGTTAACGGAAGCATTGTTAACGACCCGAATACTATATGCGAACAATTCAGCAAGAAATTCTCGCAGTGCTACAAGACTAGAACTGAAAGCTCCATCATTTCATTTCCAATGCTAACATCCAGACATCTGTCGAAAATTGATTTCACACCCTCCAACATCAAGCAGGCCATAACTACCCTGAAAAAGTCTTATGATGGTGGACCTGACGGGATACCTACATCATTTGTGAAATATGGAAGTAAAGAATTTCCACTATTTTGTTTGAAACTTTTCAATCTGTCTATGGAATATGGGACCTATCCATCTGCATGGAAAACATCCCTTATCACCCCTAGATTCAAAACAGGACCACGTAGTGATATTATTAACTATAGGCCAATTAATTTGACATCCGTGCTCTCAAGAACCATGGAAAAAATCATTCACAAACAGCTACTATCATTTTTACTTTCAGCTAGTCTGATCAGCCCATCCCAACACGGGTTCATGACTAAACGCTCATGTTTCACATCGCACCTGGAGTTTTTTGATCAAATTACCCAGAGAAGAGATGTTGGTCAGTCAGTGATAATTCTTTACTTCGATTTTAGTAAAGCTTTCGACAGTGTCTCACACAAACTTCTTCTTTTAAAACTCTCTTCATTTGGCATACAGAATCCCCTTTTATCTTGGCTCAAATCTTTTTTAGAAGAACGTAGCCAAATCGTTCGCTATGGATCTTGCTACTCTAAACCTGTAAATGTAACCAGTGGGGTTATACAAGGAAGTGTGGTTGGTCCATTGCTCTTTCTCCTTTTTATCAATGATGTGTGTTCCCTCTTTCAGTATGGTAAGCCTTTCCTTTTTGCTGATGACCTGAAAGTAGTTTATTCATTCTCTTCTCCCACGAAAGAAAGCTATATTTCTGCGATAATCCAGGAGGAAATAAACAAGTTGTACGAATGGACTATTTCGTGGAATATGCCACTTAATGTTGACAAAAGCGGATTTATTCACATTGGTCGCTGTCTTAACTTAAATCTGACTGTACAGACACATACACTCAAACCTCTCAACACTGTTCGTGACCTGGGTTTAAGATATAGCAATAGTCTGAACTTTTCTGAACACATTATATCTCAAGTATCCAAAGCTAGAAAGCTCATCGGATTGATAATGATAAACTTCAATAATATCGAATCGAGATTGTTACTATACAGAAAATGTGTCTTGCCCATTCTTGAATATGGTATTTTAGTTTACAGTAATTGTAGACATAATGATCTGATTAGAATTGAAGGTGTTCAAAGAAAGTTCACCAAAGCTGTTCTGGGGTATTCCGATAACAAAGACTACTACCAAAGATGTCAACAACTCAACTTAGAACCTCTTTGGATCAGACGTATCAAATTAAATCTTGTCTTTATCTACCGGCTCATTAACGGTATTTCCTACTCATCGGTATCTACCCCTTCATACCTTATAATATCGTCCCACAATCTACGCAATAAGGAGAATATTCTAGCGATTCCAAGAACCCACACAAACTTACGTCAGAATTTTTTCCTTATTCGCTACTCAACCATGTGGAACAGACTGCCAGTGAACCTCCGTTGCAGTGAAACTACAACCCGGTTCAAAAGTCTCCTTGACGATTTTCTTTCCGAAAGTGGATTATGCCACCTATTGAATATCAATGTATTCAATAATGATTTATACAAACAAGGTCCGTCATTTATTTAATTGCTTGAAAAGCAAAATAAAACCTTTAAATCTTTTCACGTCTATTTTGTTTTATTTCTCTTTATCTTAATATATGAAGTCTGATTATGTTCGTGTTTTATCATTATTACCGTTATTAATATCATTATTAGTTCCCCGACACATTAGATATTCTTTTTGTATCTTCTTACCCTTCTAAACATATTTAACTCCAAATTGTCCTTTGAAATCAATTTTGACTTTCATAGCATCAATCTTAATTATTATTGAACAATTGTTTATACTAATGTTCGCTTTCACTCTGTATATTATTACATAAATCTAAATGTATTCATCCGAGTGCATTGAAGGATTTTTACTTCATTTTTCTAAATTGTTGGTTTCCTTCTGAGTTTTATATTCATTACACAATTAATATTCTTATCATGGATCAAAACTTTTCACTAGGTGTTCACTTCTTTTCTCTTTTCTTTCCCTCTAAATAAATATTCTTAAGACTACGAAGTTTTTAATTAAGACAATAACTTGTGTTTTATCTTCACTATGCATATATGACTACTCATACACATAGATATTTTATTACCTTTTTCATTTAATTGAGACTTTCATAGCATCACTCCAAACTATGTGACTGCACAGACATTTATATTCTAGCGTCATATCTTACTGCAATTATAAGTTATTTTTTCTTAATTATTTTTTGTTACTAATTTAACGATAGACACATAGTCGTTTATTCTTGTTCTGTGTTCATAAACACGCCTATTAGACTGTTTGCGTATTTCATGTCTCCTTTATTTCTATTCCCTTATTTTCTCCATTTCCTTCTTTAAACCCAATTCAATATTCTTCTCAATTACAAAGACCCCATTTATTATTATTAATACTCTACTATTATTATTCTCAATTATCTATTTTATTTTCATTATTATTATTTTTTTAAATATGGCAAGTATAATGCTAACATTATTGAGAATTGTGTATAATTGCATTTTCTGAAGAAACCCGAAATGGTTTCTTCACAACACTTATGTACCCATAAGATGTTTGTGAATAATAATAATAATAATAATAATAAGACATCGAGTTCTTTAATGGTCACGCTATCCAGTGTATGTATGGAGGGATCTGTATATGCTGACGGGAAGGGTGCTTCTATGGTATATACATTGCTAAAGTAGTTTGAGAACACTTGAGCCTTACCAAAGTCGTCCTCCACTAATGATGAAGCAGTACTGTCTCCCCATAGTGCAGGAATGTTTCCTCTTCTTTTGGTCCTTTGGTTTACATAAGAATACAAGCGTGTGGGACATTCTGTGGACTCCTTAACAATTTTCTCTTCGTACAACTTTCTAGACTTACGGAGGGTCAAGGCACAGGTATCCCGAGCTTTTCGATACTGAGATTTTGTCTCGTCAGTCCCCAGTAACCTAAATCTATCTCAGATTTTTCTTCTCTAACGCAGAAGGATGCGGATTTCCCTACTGAACCACGGTGGAGAGTTTCTCGGCCCCTTTGGAGTAGTCCGAGGGATGTGGGGTGGGGTAACTTTTAAGTATAAATTTTGAAATGCGCCCCAAGCCGTTTCAGTTGATGACTCTGGGTCTATTGTCCAATCTACTAACGATGCTGAGTGCATGATATCTGGTAGGTTTGCTTTCCAGACGTTAGGTCTGGATTGAGCTAACGCGTTCTCGTGTTTGACAGCTATATGAAGTCGAAAGTTAAAACTGCGTGATCACTTTTACCTAGGGGTGGCATATAATGGAGGTTCGCAACGTCATCCTCATGGTGAGTCAATATAAGATCTAGTAAGGATGATTCAGTGTCCGGGTTGTACCTAGTCGCTTCTTTCACATATTGCACTAGAGCACATGTGATAACCACATCAACTAGTTCCTGCTCGAAGGAATTTTCTGACGATTGAGTTAGCAGATTTTCCCAGTCTACAATAGGTGCATTAAAGTCCCCTAGGACTAGACATCGACCACTTTGCGACCAAGTATTGAGACTGCTTAGCAGGACTTCATTTACCTCACAGCTTGGACTGCGATAGACCAAGCCAATCAGCAGCTCTTGTCCCTTGCATTTCAAGTGGCAACTAACTAATTCACACGTCCCACTCTCATGGGATACACTGTCGATAATGGCAAATGGGGTAGCATTCCTAATGAATAGAGCTGCTCCCCCTCCTTTACGCTTCTGGATTCTATCGGCTCTTATAAACCTAAAGCCCTCAAAATCAAGTCCCATACTATCTGTAGGCTGCGTCAGCCAAGTTTCTGTGACTGCGATATCTGGCTTGGTAGAGTCAGTCTGTACACTTTGTTCCGACCGCTTATTAAGTAAGCTTCGGGGATTAGTGAAGCAGATCCGAAGCCCATTTAAGTGGCTTCGTGCTTCACCCAGAGTGGCTTCGGTATCATTCCCTGTCGAAACCTTACAACCCGAAAATTTACAATTTTCAGGTCCTTTTCGCCAGCGTCTAACCTAAGTTGTATTTCTTTTTCGGTTTCCCGTCTTTATACGCGGTCTGCCAACGGCAATTCTTTACGGATAAAAACTCCTGAACCTTTAATTTATGTCCATTCTTTAAAATTAGGTCGCGTTCATTCGAATATTTGAATACTACTTTAAACAGTCTGGATCGATTAGGCTTCAGGATCGCTAGACTACCTAGTCTGTACACCCTTAGCAAGGTGACTCTGTGGATATTTTGAGTCATGGGTTGATTAAGTAGCTGTTTTATCAGCACAATGCTATGCCCAAAACGAGTTTTTGGTTCAGAGCTTTCACTCTCCTTGATTCTATGAAAAATAACTGATCTGTCACTGTGATTAGCTTTTGATTTCTCTACTACTTTTACGGGGGCAGGATTCCCTTTTATATCGTCATGTTGTTTCTTCCTTACAACCTGTACCCATTCGTCAACGTTGCTATGAGAGACAACTACAGTTACGTCAAACATACTGTGGGATTCCGGAGGCTGTCGACGATTTGGGAGGTCAGGTTATGTTTCCCGCTAAAAACCGATCGAGCCTTGCGCTTGAGGCTTCTAGGTGTTACCTTCTGGATACCATTTAGAAGACTGGCGACTGGAGAAACTTCTTTTCTGGAGTTTTTGATTGAGACAGACCTCTTTGAAGACTGTTTTTACTCCTATGGTCGGGGTGAATCACCTGTTTTCAAACTCACCTGAGTTCGCTTCATACCAACAGAGCGAGTACTGTTCGATGTGTATCGACCACGCTTGCCAAAACATTTTTTTGCAGCACTTACAAATGAGACGGCCTCGGTTAGCAAGCTGTTTGCATCCGAACAGCACTGTTGACAAAGCCATACGCAACAGTTTTTACTGAACCGTTTGAAAGCCGCAGGCGTTAAATTAATGCAAAATTCGTGGTACCAGCCTTTTCAATCATCACACTGCATGCTGCTTTCAACAGGATAATAATAATATATTTTTGCATGTGCAGGTACACGCCATTTTTACAGGCATGATCTATAAATTACAAAATTTGTTGGTTCACAAAATGCTTCCCAACTTAATAAGTTTATAGTTGTTATAAAGTATACTCGTAGAGCTCTTGTTGTAAACAAAACATACTCGTAATATAACAATAATATTAAGGTACAATGTTTGAATTGGTTTTCGTCCAGACGGACAAGTAACACATTCCAATATGTAACTGCAGCTGATGGGTTATAGCTTGAAAAATTGGTCACAAGAGTCCTAGGGAAATAATTGTTGAATTTCGTATGTTAAGCGTTTACAGTTCCTGTTACTCGCCCTGCGAGAAAACAATGAAAAAACCTTTCTGCCGATCGTTTGAAAACAAGCTCATCGACTTCCGTGCCGATAATAATTATCAGCGTTACAACAGAAGCTTATACTTGACCACGTTAACAAATATTATGATCTGTCTTCAACTTGTGGCGTGGCGTCGAGTTAGGATTAACTAAGAACACCGCTACAGAGAAACCCGTGCCAAGTTAATCAGAAGGCGAAGGTTGAACATAACCAAATAGATCCATAAAATCCTCGAGAAACAAAATATCAGAAGGCAGTTAATAGACCAAATCGAGATATATTTGCTGGCGATCTCGTGGTATCGAAAGGATGCCGAGATCGTGTCAGGATAGAAGCTTGGTTACAGAACGTAACCGAATCCGCGCGAAGTCACAATCAAAAGTGTAGGAATAAGAATGGAAGCACAATATAGCTGTCATTAGCACAGTCAAACAAAAGCACATTAAAACAAGCACTGGTACAGTTGGTTATAATAATAATTGTTTTTATTAAACCAGTCGTGTTCTCGTGATAAATATGAGTCACTACAAACTCATCAAGTGAGAGTAGCACATTCCTTTTTATTAAAATAACAGGTAGCCTCAAGAGAATCCCGTGGAAATACTTATGAAATTTTTTCTGCTCAAGAACGTTTGAAGTTCACAGTTTTGAGGCGCGGTTTGCGGCGACTAAAGTTGTTATGGATTTCAGGGCCTGACAATAATGTTTTCCGTAATACACTTGTAATCGAAAGTTATCAACCGGGTCAAACCGAAAGTCAGGAATGAAGGGGTTCTAAGATATATATGGAAGATGGTCAATATTTCTAAAAGTGCATGATATAATTGACTAGTTTTTGCGACGGCTGCATAGCATGGCTTATCTAATGGCGACTCCGGAACTGACCACCTTCAGCTAAGATGTGTCCAGTAGGTCATCATCAATACCTGAGACTCATGGAACTATTTATCTACGGGAGTTGCTTATCACTACGCATTTTAATTCTGGTGTTGGGTGCTCAGAAGATTCATTGATACGCAATACGAAATCGTGTTAATTGCTGCTTCAACTTATTCCGCTATCATGTCAATGAAAATCTTTGCCTAAAATAATAAGCACGACTAGACATATGCCAAATGATTAGAATTAAGGTTATTAGATTTGTGTATTTGTTTTATTGAGTCAAATGTTCACCTGGTTGACAATATGGCTAGCCGGCTCTTTTGCCGCGACTACAACTGTTTTGGCGGGCTCTTAGTATTATTCCTAAACGTAGCTAGTATATGTGCGTTGTAAGGATCGGCCGAAGGCTTCTCCTTTGTGACTTGCTATCCACACGTTAATTACTTGTAGCAGTAGTGAGGAACACATGGAAGGTAGCTTGCTTGATGATTATATTACTACTTTGTTAGTCTTCATGGATCATTCCAACCGCTCGTCAAACTCTGTTAACCATCAAACAAAGAAAGAACGCAGTGTGCATGGGAAACCAGAGGCAAGTTTGTTGTACTTTCCATTTGACTATACTTATAGTGGCAGAAAAGTGCAATCAG